TGCCAAGATGGTTGACTGGGACTGAATACACGGCCGTGTTAGATGACTTATAAGGGTGACTGAGCGTCCCAGGCAACCAACACGGCAGTGTAGATTACCTTGCATTTGTGAATACGGTCGTGTTCTTGTCCATGTTCACGCCATGTTCTGAACACAGTGATGTTCCTACCCATGTTTTAGTCCATGATCACGACTATTTTTTCAACACATCCATGTTTTAGGTCATGTTCACGACCATGTTTTCAATATAGTTATATTGTATGTCATATTTATTATTATTTCAACTTCTTGGTTAAAATGATTTGATATATATTTATAATTGAACAAAAATATTTTATACAATTATTTCATAATATAAAGAAAAATCAATTTTTAATATTTTAAAAAAATAATTGTAAAAAAAGTATAAAAAAATAATATATTAATATTATTTTAAATAATCATCATTATATAAATTAATTATTTTTATAAATTATAAATTAAATTTATTTTTAAAATAAAATTTTAGATTTTTTACTATAAAATTTTTAAAGATATATTTAATAATGATTATTAAAAATATATATTAATATATTATTTTTAATACTTTTTTTTGCAATTATTTTTTCAAAGTATTAAATTAATTATTTTTTATATTAAAAAATATTGTAAAAAATATTTTTGTTGAATTATAAATATATATCAGATAATTTAACAAAGAAGTGAAAATAATACTCCCTCCGTCCACTAAATAAGTATACATTTACTTTTTGCGCGGAGATTAAGGAATAATAGCATTTTAATTATAGTAGGTAGATAAAAGTAGTGAAATGACATTTTTGCCCTTACTTTTTTGGTATAAAAGTAATGATGTGATGTAAAGTAGGGGTATTTGTGAAAAAAATGGGGTATTTAATGAAATGATTACTTTGAAATTGGACGTCCCAAAATAAAAACATGTATACTTTCTAGCTGGACGGAGGGAGTAATAAATATTGAAAACATGGTCGTGAATATGGCATAAGACATGGTTGTGTTGATAACAGGGTCATGAACATGGGTAAAAATATAACTGTGTTCAGAACATGGACATGAACATGGGCAGGAACACGGCCGTGTTCAGGAGTGCAGGGTAATCAAAACGGTCCTGTTGGCTGTCTGGGACGTCCAGTCACCCTTCTGAGTCATCCGATACAGTTGTGTTCAAACCAACAATGTCGTGTTTTGTCTCAGTCAACCATCTTGGGACTAAAATTAATAAATTTTCATTTAAGTTGGACCAAATTTGAAAAATTTTTTGAATGAAACCAAAATTGATAATAACAATATTGAATGAGACCAAAAATAATGTTTGCTCAAATGAATACTTTTAAAAAGATTTTGTGATCTATACAAAAAATTACATGTTCAGTATTCGCATAACCTTCAATTGAATATTGTTGATGTATTTTTTCAACAAACAAAAAGTAAAATTCAAAGATATGGAAAATATCTTTCAACTTGATTAATTAGCGTTTGAGATTATGAATCTCTAAACACTGTACGGTACATAAAGAAATTAACTGGAAATTAAAATGCTGGAAATTTAAAGTGGTGATCCCCGAATCTGACTTTGCTTTGTTGAAGTTGATTGAAGATGATAAAAAATAAAAAATCTAAATCCTTAAATATTCCTTGAAAAGACATTTTGGAACCGTCGCCAGCAACCGCCGTCAACCGCTATGACGAAACGCTTTGAAACGTCGTCTGGTCGGTTACATCAACCGTCCATTAATTCCTCATTTATTGACACGTGTCTTGCACCGTCTCGCCAAACGCTTCCACCAGTTCCAGAACTCAACTGGCCCGACCGACCATTCCAGAGACCAATTGCTAGACCAGCCGACCTACTTTATCCGACCGCAGACCATCAGACTTGTCTGTCCGACTTGCTGACCATCAGACCTGTCTGTCCGACCTGCTGACCATCCGACCTGTCTGTCCGATCTGCTGACCATCAGACCTGAGGACCTCCCGACCTGAGAACCTTCCGACCTGCGGACTTTCCGACTTTAGGACCTCCTGACCTGAGGACCTTCCGACCTGCGGACTTTCCGTCTTGAGGACTTTCCGACCTGAGGACCTCCCGACCCGAGGACCTCCCGACCTGAGGACCTTCCGACCTGCGGACTTTCCGTCCTAAGGACTTTCCGACCTGAGGACCTCCCGACCTGACCTCCCGACCTGAGGACCTTCCGACCTGCGGACCTCCCGATCTGAGGACCTTCCGACCTGTGGACTTTCCGTCATGAGGACTTTCCAACCTGAGGACCTCCCGACCTGAGGACCTTCCGACCTGAGGACCTCCCGACCTGACCAACCGACCGAGGACCTCCCGACCTGACCAACCGACCGAGGACCAACCGACCTGAGCGCAAAATTTTTTCCTTTTCCACCCGACTTCGTGTCTAACTTCTTTTAAGATTCTGCTATCCTTATTTTTATTATTATTATTATTATTATGATTTGTACTTTTAAGATAATCATTAAATAAATTTAAATAGATAAGAAGTAAGAAGTTGAAGAAAATTCATTGGTATAAATTTTATAGAGAAATAAAGTAATATTTCTTAAGTCTCAATTTAAAGTATTATTTTTATTATTTTCATATGTCTTATTTCAAAATATATTTTTCTTATTTTAGAAGAAATATTTGTATATTAATTTCAAAATACTCTTAATTTTTACTTAAATTACAAATTTACTATTATATATAAAATTAATTTATGATAAAATCAAAGAGCAGAAATGTCAAAAAAAAATTTATGTACTCTAACTAACTAATAAAATACTAATATTATATTTTAATCTACTATAAAACTCCAACAGACCATTTGGTACGGAAAGAGTATTATATATCAAATTACTATGACTAAATTTATTGATTTGGTTAAATTTTAAAGTTTATAAATAAATATATATTATTTTTTAAATAAAATCAAATTAAAATGCTATTTAAACTAAAATCATAAACGCTAGTCTCCTCAAAGTATACCAAGGCTTCTTGAAATAGGGAGAGGGAGTATATAGTAGTAATAAGTTTGAATTCAAAAGTTGGACGTTGATTGATGTCAAAATCTGCATATAGGAAATTTAAGACAAATATATATATATACATGTTTTAATTATCATGTTAACAGAGTCAAATCAGTATAGCGTTAATTTGATTTAATGAGCACGTATTCATAAAAAAAGTAATATAAATTAATTTAACATATAAATATATTTTGATAGCATGTTATGCAATTATATATAGTATAATATATTATGATTTGCGTATAAGCGATATTTAACTCATACAATAAATTAAATATTAACACAAATGAATTTCATATAAGCAAAATGGACAAAAGAAGCATTGTAAATCTTTGTAGATATGTACAAGATGTCATCAACAACTAATAAAGTTTACTTGTTATGATGACTTTTAAACCTTAAAATATCGAAAACTACAATTACAACCGAATACTTGTATAAATTTAATTTTATCAGATTATGGTTGGTTTTAGTTATTATATTTGACGAAGATTAAAGCTCTAAATCTTGTTGTCTATTTATTAGAAAATTGAAGAGACATTATCACAAAATATACGGCTTCATCGGGAAATAATGAGAAATTAAAACTTCGACTCCATCGGTGAGGAAATTCACAAGAGATATAAGTTAGCAAAATTTAAGTCGATGAATCGAAGCAGCTGAAAAATGAGTTGAGTCATATCATACACTATAATTGTAAGAATTCTAGCATTAGCAAAAATAGTGCATTACCATTGAAGAAAATTATAACAAACAACAATTCACTCGATGTAACGATAAAAGATATAAAAATATGTTATTATTGTTAATGTGATTAATAATTTAGAGTCAATGATTTAAGGAAAATAAAATATTACAGCTTTGAAGATTTTAGAATTATTTATCTTACAATCATTAAAAATTATCAAAAAATAAAATATTTCGACCAAAACTTTGAATAGATGTAAGTGACAATTTAGCTATATGCTGGATGAAAACTGATTGACATCAAATGCATCATACAAATATTTTCCATCTATTGTTTTTTTTTTTTTTTTTCCATCTTAATTTAGCTATATGTTGATCAATTCTAAGGATGTCTTTAGGGATTTTTCTCCAAAAAAATTGAGTATGTATGATTTTAAATTAAATTTACTAATCAACATAAGATTTTTTTATTTTTTATTTTTTATCACAGTACATCATAAAATATATGAAACTTCTCAAGGTAATGTATTTTTATTATTAAAATCACACGAAAGTTCTATTGCATGGAATTAATTATAGTAATATATTTTTCGATTTCATAAAAAATAAATAAAAGTATTACAGCAGTTTCAAAAACAACGAATAAGAAATCTCAGTCTCAGAAAATAATTTAAGATCTATGTTATAATAGTTCATAAAAAATAATATGTTCTATTTGGTTTGTGGCGGAAGAATGGATAACTAAAAAGAATTTTAAAAAGAATAAAAATAAAAAAAAATAAAAATGAAATGATCACAATCTATTGAAGGGACCAAATGCAAGAAGATGGAAAATATTAATAAAAATGATAAATATATAAATATAATTAATAATAATGAAACATCCCAAATTGGGTTCATGCTCCAAGCCTGTACATGCTTATTTTATATGCCATTATTCATGGAACTAATTAATTAAATCCCCAACAGATAATTTATTTTAAGATTATTTAAAAAATAAAAAAATTAATCAGTGGGCCCAAAGCCACGTGAACACAGTTGGTCTTGCTTCACAGAAGTCAGCCCACCTACATATCCATCCCTCTCACTCCCTTTCACTTCTACTTTCTTATAATAATCAATTTATAAAAAATAAATAAATAATAATAATAATAATAATAATAATAATAATAATAATAATGATAATATAGAACGAGTCATGTATATTTATAGCATCAAAATTTCAAAGGCCCTAAATCAAATAGTCATAAATTTGAGACATTTCTAATAATAATAATCTAGAAATGTTGCATCCATCTATATATAGATACGTACACACACACTCCAAATTCCACCTCCACCATTATTATTTTTCCTAACTTGAATTAATACTACGGTTGGTTTCTCTGTTTCTATTTTTATTTATTTTTCTTTTCAAGAAATAAAAAATATATATAAAATATTTAAAAATGAGCCTTCCCCAAAGTGCGAAGAGCCAGCCGTCAAAATTCCACAAGAAACGGCTGAGCCAGGAGCAAGTGCGGCTCCTGGAGGCTTGTTTCGACGCCACCAAGAAGCTCGAGCCGGAGCGAAAGTTCCAGCTGGCGCGGGAGCTCGGCGTGCCGCCGCGCCAGATAGCCATTTGGTATCAGAACAAGCGAGCCCGGTGGAAGAACCAGGCTCTGGAAGTCGACTACGGCGCCCTCCAGCTGCGCCTCGAAGCCGCACTAGTCGAGAAGAAGCAGCTCGAGAGGGAAGTCGACGCCCTCCGGCTCGAGCTCAAGCGAGCCGAGGACATGCTGTTTGGGTCCTTCAGAGAAGCCGCTCAGCTGAGCCAGCCGAACCACGCCGGTCCGCAGGTTTCGTCTCTGTCGAGCTGCTGCGACGAGGGCGCCGCCAGCTCGAGCCTGAATGAGGACGTCGGCTGCTCAGTTAAATGGGGAGCTGCCGCCGCCGCCGGGGGGGAGACGTTGCAGTATGAGGAGCTTTATGCTTGTTTGATGCTGGGTGGGGCCAAAGGATCCAACGGCGGACAAATTCCCGAGGGGATGAACTACGAAAGAGATTTTTGGGTATAAAATTATTGAATTATTGAAATTAATTATCATGGTCGAGTGCAAAAATTAAAACTTGAATTATTAGTGTTATATATATACATACACATAATATATGTATTTGGGTGCATGAAGATCATCAAGGGTTGATCAATAAAGTGTTTAGTTTGATAATTTAATAAATTTTGTTGTAGCCTCATCACTTTTCATCATTTTATTCTTGTAATTTCATTATTTATTTATATAATTTTCTTCACAAATCACATATCATATATATAAATATATATGGGATATTTTTGGAATTATTAGAATTAAACTCATTTTTTTAAAATTACATATAACTGTTATTCTTTGTTTTTTAATGGGATTATGTATAGTTTTTATTCTTCATATTGAATTTTTCTTTTTTTTTCTTTTTTTTTTAAAGAAATTGAAGTAATAAGAGGAAACAATAATTATATTTAATTATAGTTGGAAAAAAGACGTATATGCTTGCATTTTCCAACCGTATGTAGGACATTAGATGAGCTTTAATCAAAGTAACACTACTAGAAAAAAGGTTAATAATTGCGAAAATTTGTCGCAAATTTTAATCCGTAACAATTAAAAGTCACGGAAAGTAATTTCGTGAATAATTTATGACACTATTTTTTGCTTTGACTATTCCGTAAGTAATATTTGCAGAAAAAGCTACAAACAACTTTCCGTGACTATTTAAAGTAATGGCTTATGTAACGAAAATGTCCAAGATATTTCTATTCCGTTCTTTTGACTATTTCGTCACAAAAATTGTCACAAAATTTTTTCTTGACTATTTTAAGTTGCGGAAAAAATAACCAAAATATTTCCAACATTTTAAATTATTACAGTTATCGTCATAATATAATTTTCGTGATTTTTTAAAATCAAATGTCACAACATAAGTAACGAAAACAACTATAAATTTTTCTTATTATTGTTCGTAGCTATTCAAAGTAATAACAAAATAATAAAATCATCTTCAATATCTTTATTCAATATCGTTCGTAGCTATTCAATTTTTTTGTTAAAAATTCATGATGATATATTAAATAAATATGTATATATTTTTAAAAGATAAATTTATAATCAATAATATTTATATAGTTAAAATATAATGACAAACAAAAAGTATTACTTTATAGTAGATAGCTAAGTTGGCATGGCAGGTCATAATTCCGAAAAAAATAATCGTGTGTGGTTGCATTGAACAAAAATTATAATATAATTATATTATTTTTCAAAAATATAAAATCACGGAATTGTTACAACTTTCGTTAACATAAAGTCACAGAGGTGTAATGGTATTATTTTGTAACTTATTGTCACGAAAATGTCACCATTATAAAATATTCACGAAATTTTGTTGCAGCTTCTGTTAGTATATAAAATCACGGACATATCATGGTATTATTCTATAACTTATTGTCACAGAAATGTCACAACCTAAAAAAAGTCACCAGCAAAATTCCACGGAAATGGTTCCGTATATTTTTCCGTGACTTTTTGGTAAAAAGTCACCAATTTGTATTAAAACCGTGACTTTTTTTACCGCAACTATAGCCTAATTTTCTGGTAGTGTAATTGGTCTAACCGACTAATATAGCATAATTAAATTGGATAATCCAATATTATTGATTTTTTTGTAGTAAGATTAGAATCTGATGTTGAACTAGAGTCTTCATCATCCTCCGTCACACTCCCTTCCTGGCTCAAGCGCAAGCTTGGATAAAAATTGACCGAATAAAGAGGGATCAAGAGCCATCGCAAAAGGCATCAGCAATTTGGAAAATGGTAAAAATATAATAAAGTGTAAAAATCCTTGAGTGAAATATTGATGAATAAAGTAACAATTAATGTCAATATGTTTTGATCCTTCATGTGAACCGAATTTTAAACTAAATAGATTGTAGAGAGGTTATCACAATGCAAAAGTATTGAATTGATAACTGACATGACATGTGAAAATTCTAAAATATATATGTAATTCAAAGAAGTTTAAAAACAAATACAACCAACACAGTAAATTCTCACTTTAGTGGAAGGGTAGAAGACACTTGATTACTCTTTTTTATTTTCATGAGATTAAATAATTATCCAAGATCCAATTAATGATATGTGAACATCTAGTCATCAATTTCAATCAACATTCCAATAAAAATATAAGGAGAAAGTAGAAGAAAAAAATAAGAATAGTTTAGCACCAATGGTACCTCAAAGATGTTTCAGAAATCGTTGGGTGGCATTCCAATATTGAGTTATGGGTTTAGCCATGAATTGCAAGATTTGTTGGATAAAAAATATAATGTTTAGCCCAGTCATTGTAAGATATAATAGTCAACCAATTAATATTCGAAAATGTGAATGTTGATAATATGATAGAGGAAAATTAACTTTAGTTTAAAGCTTAATCCCAAAATAATAGGTGTGAGAACAAGATTATAGTTAAATATTTCAAATTTCGTTAAATATATTAAAGAAAAATTTGGTATGAGTGAAAATTAAGCTATAACAAAAATGTTCACCCTATATTCCTCCCAAAAAAAATCTATTGTTTCTAAGTTTTCAATGATATAAGTTTTGTCAAGATTATCTGTTATTCTTTTTATTATGAGAAAGTGATCCTTTGTAATGAGTATATTATCAAAATATACTACAGAAAAGATAATGTGAGTATCAAATGTGAGAGTGAATTAAAATTTTGAATTAATCTAATTAAGCGAAAAAAGATCAATTTTAATGAAAATCTTTTATACCACCGACAAGGGCCTATTTAGGATATAGAAAGAGCGTTTAAGCTTTCAAAGTAAACATAGGGTGCTCAACAACCCAAAAGAGAAACAATGTCTAATTCTTTAGTCAATCATTTTGTAAAAATACATTATTCACATCAAGTTGGTGGATTCACTATCTTCTAGCATAAATAAATGTAAGTAAAATTTGAACATTTATTGTCTTTTCCAACGGAGCAAAAGAATCAGTATAATATTTCTCTCGAACTTGGAGGATATTGAAAAATGAGGCTAAACCAAATCTCTTTCTAACACTAAAAAATGGTTCAACTCTTCGAAGCGTGGTTAACTCACAGTTGTAACAACCAACTGTCTACCAATTAAATACTAAACTTCAAAGTAATAAATGAGACAATGATTTGTTAACTCAGTTCAGTTATAAATCAATTTACTTATGGGAGATTCCAATTTATGAGTAGTTCAATTACAATTAGTCTCGATTACATAATTGAAACAACCACAAACTCTCTTAACTCATTTTTTCTATAATGACTAACCTTGCAATTCATACACAAGTACTAGTAGTCACAAACGTGTACTGACACCAATGTTTACAATAACTACAGAAAAATGCAGTTCAGAGCTAGTCATCTTCTTCAATTGGACCTCTGAAAACTTCTTCTTCCGACAACTTTTCCGGTGAGTTTATGTGTCAAATACAAGTTCAAAATATAGAGATAGAGAGGAATAGGAATGAGAGCTCGATTGATTAATTTTTCTCTCTAGAATAATCTCTCAAATTGTGTTCACACTCAACCAAAGTTGTCCTAGCTGTGTATACAGCTTCTTTGTTTTGTGAGAAAAATTGATCAAATTAATTCTCTTAGCATAAATATGGAATATGGTGTTTCTTCATGTATCTGAAAATATGTTGACGGTCATCATTCATCCAATTTATCTTGTATATGTATTTGTAGATATGAGACAAAATGGACAAATACAAATTCACAGATGTTGCAATATGTGTTTGTCTACAGCTGCCAAAGTCAATTTTGTTATTTTTGGATTCTATCAATTACAAGAGCATAAAAAAGTGGTTTGTTCATATGCCGAAAAAAAAATAAGAAGATATTTCTATTTAACAAGGAAAAACCTTAGTTACTAGTCAGGCTATGCAACATTGAAATTGTCCATTATCATTGATTTTCATTTTATAAATCTACTTGCAATGTTATTCCTTATTAGTTTGAAAATATATTGGGAGTACTTGCAAACTAACATAAAGTACATCATACCATAAATATAAAAGAATAGTAGGTAAATGATTAAGTGAGGAGCAAATGTTATCATTCACTCATGTTGGTTTTCTGATTTATCTTATAAACCTATTGTAAAACTCTAAAGGAAAGAAATATTATACTCCCTCCGTCCTATTGAAAGGTTACCATTTTCCATTTTCGTCCGTCCCAAAACAAGGTTACCATTTCCTAATTTAGTAATTGTACTACCTACTTAACATAATAAATACCCTTTCAACTTACAATATATTACACAGATGTCATCATTTTTATATTACACCATACTAATAGGGATATTCTTGTCTTTTTTACTACAATCCAATATAATACTAATATTAAAAAATTTACGTGCAAAAAGCAAACGCTACATTTCCAACGGGATGGAGGGAGTATTAGAAATGATGTGTGGAATAATTAATAATGGAGACGGAAGAGTAAAACACAATTAGAGTTGACATCTCTAAACTAAGATCTGAATAAAATAGAAGAATTTGTATAGATCATAGAATGTGACTTATAATGCGCAGAGATATAAAATATAGTAGTATAAAAAATGAGATGAGAATTTGAGAGTATTGGTGATTGTGGAAGAATGGTAATAATTGATAAATAGAATTATACTTTCATTAAAATATATATCTTTAATAATGAACACTTACTGAATATCTGAATTGCATAATTTAAAGTTTTTAATCTCTAGTTGTACGCCAACAAATATACATTTAGTTGTTTTAGAAATATTAGTATTATATTGGAATGTAGTAGGAATAAAGTAGAAATGACTAAAATAACTTTATTAGTATTGTATGATATAAAGGTAATGACATTTGTGTAATATATTGTAGGTTGTAAGGGTATTTATAATGTTAAGTAGATAGTATAATTACTAAAAATAAAAAAAAAAAGAAAAAGAAATTGATACATTGTTATGAGACGGATTAAAATGAAAAAATAAATACTTTGTTATGAGACGGAGGGAACATAAAAAGTGAAAATAAAAGTTGATTTAGGAGTTAAGTTTATAATATAAAAATTGTTTCCGAATTGTCCAACATAAATAACCTCTTTAGATGTTAGATTTGATAGTGATATTTGAGATAGAATTCAAGTTTTAGATGGTTAAGGTCTGCTAACATTATGATAAAATTGAAGATTGTATTGGAATGTATAACATTATTATGATATGAAGTGTAGACAAACATAATTAGAATGTGAAGGATATAGAATAATGTTATTTGTAAGAATGATTTGAGGTCTATTAAGTACATGTTTAACATCAAATAAAGTGTGTAATATTTTAAAAACATGGAATGATATTCTACTGTCAATTAACTTGATAAAGTTATAAAAAATAATGGTATTAGGAGAAGATACATTAACTAGAGTATTTTAAAATATCTACTGACCCTTCAAATGTTGTGTTCTTCGCGATGAATAATTTCTTCATAGTAACTTTAATCACTGCCTCAAAATTTTTTTCATTAGCACTAGTTCTGAGTTTCCTCCCGATGAATTAGTTATTGTCACAATATTGATATCTTTTCTTTTAAAATTCTTTTGCCCAAATAGTAAAATCCATGAAGTTTAAAATATGCATTTTTAGTATGACATTTCTTATTGCAATAAGTTTATCTTCTCTATTGAATATGTTTTTTTTATACATTTTATATGTAAAAACAGTATTAGATACATGCATTCTTGTTAATATTAGCAACCAAGGCAACATAGAAGTTTATCTATTAAAAAAATTGTAATTTCTTATGTTTTTTCAAATTGTACAAGTATTGAATAGGCTTTTGTAGAAGGTAGAGATCCATAACAATAATTTGATTTCTTAAACCTTCGTAACTCTCGTTCAACCTCTTTAAAAATTGAATAAACTAATTCCTTTGTCCATTATACGATGATATAGGTAGCAAAAGCAATTAGTAAAAGCAATAAATAAATAAATATTTGTCAGCTCAATGCCAGCAAGTTCTTCCCACATTCTTTGATGATTTAATATAGCAGATTGACACTGAATAATCTCATGTTTTAAAATTTGAATAATTGTCTTCAATTGGTAAATCATAAAACCATTGCATAGCCCAAAATTTTTATTGTATGTTAGTCCCACATCATCTCTGTAGCAGATTTGGAATATACAAATGCTTTTTGTAACTTAATGTTATTAAATTTCAACAAAAGTACTAAATTAATCACTTTTTATTTTGTCAATTTTGGACAATTACAAGTGATAAGTAATTATGTCGGATAAAATAATATTATCCATCGTAATCAGAACTGGCGCATGGTTGTTCATTCGATCACCACTCCCCGTCGAGTTCGCTATCAGCTGGAATGGCGTCGACAGAAAGATTTCACTCTCTCCAGCCCTTCTTCCAAAGCTGATGGCTCCACGGCGAACGTGATCCGTAGCCAATTCTTGAGTCCCACAGCCAGTCCTGCTAAACATAGACAATGTAAATCAAGGATAACGATGGCAAAGCGTGCAAGAATGTCGACAAAACTCAGTAAATTGGACCTGGAAGAACTATTACAGATTCCTCTTTCGCCAACTTGAAGCAGAAGTCGATGTCGTCACTGATATCTTTTAGCTGGGAAACATTCAGCTTCACCTAAGTTCAGGCAGACACTCATCAGGCAAATCAAATTTAAACGATTTAGAAAGGGAACAAGAATCCACCAATATATATATATATATATATGTTTTACCATGCACGCCATCGATCCTTCGGGTTTCTGAGGACAACTGATGCAAGGGATTCCGTTGATCTTTTCATAACAAATATCCGAAGCCTGCTTCAGTGTGCTAAGTGTCTTCGTAAAGAAATTATTCTGCGTTTTGTTGATGATTTCCGGGACAGCAGCCTGGCAAATCAAACAAACACTCTGATTGAAAAACAGATTGCATCGTCTTTAATCCTAAGTGCATCGCAACAATCTAACATAATTCAAACTAGGTGCACCGACACAGTCATGTAAGTGTTTTATTTCTGTCGTCCAAACAGTTCGTACAATTGTCAAACAAATGATCACGATGGACTCGATGAAATAATTTATCTCAGTTTAACCCCACCTGAATAAACGTTGCTGGCCCTCCGGAGATGTTACTGTATTTCTTAAGGCGCTCGACAAACTGAAAAAGATAGAGCCGGTTAAAAATTGAAGGGTAAAGGAACTAACAAGTTTGGCAGTAAAGGGAAAAATTTTATTTCAGAGTTAAAAGATCGATAATAAACCTTTGGGGTCTTCATATACCCGTAGGGATCATTTGTGACCAACCAACCAAGACGCCAACCCGGCACTAGCCACCTCTTTGATAAAGATCCGAGAGTAAGAACAGGCGTAATTGAGCTAAAAACTCCCATAGGCACAAAAGGATTGGCCCCGAAAGATAGATGGCCGTATACTTCATCAGCAATGACAACTATACCGAGCCTGTTTGCAGTTTCCGCAATCTGATTGATCATTGCAAACCATTAAGGTCTACATGGATCGTATATATCTATTAGCCGTAAAGTAGCTGTGAGCAAGATCGAATGCTTACCTCTTTCAGGTGTCGATGCGAATAAACATTCCCACATGGATTCCCCGGATTTATGATAACCACAGCCACCGTGTTTTGATCTGACAGAGCTTCTACTGCTCGGAGATCAACCTCCCACCCATTCTCGGGTTGAAGATCGAAATAACGAACTTCAAGGTTTCGAAAAGCTGCGCAGAGTCCGTAGATTGGGAAACCAGGCCTCGGCAGCAAGATATTTGCACCAGGTGCAGCCAAAATAGACAGAGCAAATTCAATGGCTTGTGTACAACCAGCAGTTATATAGACATCGTCAGGCGACAAGGTGTAAGCAAGATCACGAGATAGATAGTCTGAAATCGCTCTGTTCCAGAAAAATCATGACAATCGAAGTCGAGCAATGATCAGTGATGAGGATGGTGATAAACCAGGTGAATTAGTATGGATTAACTTCAACACCAAATCTAATAATCTGATTTCGCTAAGAAGTACTAGTATGAACAATGATGTTAAACTTCAAACCCTAACTATTGCGATAAATTTCAACGAAATTGGAATTCAAAATCCCCAAGCAACAATCGAATGAACACCAAATCGTTCCGCACAGCAAACAAAAGCAGGAACACAGTGCATGCTCAGATTAAAATTGAAAAAATTAAAAGAGAAATCCAAAAGCAGCACGGATTCGATTAACAGAGAAGTTACTTTCTAGTTTGGGGAAGCCCAACGGTGGGGGCGTAGCCATTGAATTTGTTGGAGCGGAGGGTTTCAACAACGGCCTCCTGCGCAGCAGAAGTGGTGCAGAAGCAAGAGTAGGCAGTCGGATCCCCAATCCCCAACGAAATTACCTTTTTACTCTCACCGCCATTCTCGGCGCCTGTACTCGCCATCAAAAGCTCCAGTATTCCTTTGATGGTAATGGTGTTGGGCGTCTCAATTTCACGGCTGCCACTGTCGCCATTCCGAGCATCCATAGTTGAAGCGAGAATGGAGGACAAGGTTTCTGGTATGGGTTTGGTTATGGGTATGGGGACGGGGTAAAGAAGAGGGAAATCGATATTTTGGATTGTAGCAGGCGTCAGGGACGAAGGTATTTGAAGGCCACAAGAATCGCGATCCATAGCTGTCTGTGCTGTAATTCATACGTTGGCGTTTTTGTGAGGTGCCAAACCCAAACGAAATATGGCCTCATTAATTTATTTTTTTTTATTATTATTTTTTTTTATATATAATGAAAATCAAATGGTGATCTTCCGTGTAAACTCCAAATTTACTTCTTTTTGTAAATATGTTTGTTATTACACGTGGCAGTTATTTGATCTTATCTAACATGTGTGCATTATGCATATAAAATATTATTTTAATTTTATAAAATTTTGAATGATTTAATTTGGATAAGCTAAAAATCTGTTAATCCATAGTTATGATAAATTTTTATTTGACTGATTAAAATTATCTATGTTGAATTTATGCCTCCTTTTCAAGCACTTTTTGGATCTAAGATATTAAATCTTTATTGTAGATGAGATTTTCTTGTGATTCTGATATTTAAAGATCGAATTTTTATCAATATAGCCTATGATTTAATATCATTGATTGGCGAGATATTTTTGCAATTGTGTATATTAAAAATAGTTTCAGTTCAAATAACAAAAATATAAAAAAAAATTAACATATTTTCACGAATTAATAAAATACTATTATTTTTTAATTTATTGTAAAAACCTAAAAGATCCCATTAATTTGTGACAGAGGCAAAAAAAAAAAAAAATCGTCCAACTTATATAATTGTTTTGTCATTTTTGTTAATCCAACTCAAATATATTCACTTTTTACTTTAATAAAAAAAAAAAATCTCTTATACTTTACAAAATATTACAAATAATATCATTAAAAATAAATAAGTTTAACAACAAAATTGACTTTTTTATCTATCTATTGTACTATTTACTATAAAATATTAATATACTAAAATTTACGTGCAAAAAGCAAATTGATACATATGACTCGAGTGGTGGAGTAAAGATACGGCATATTTAAATCCCAAAATACCTCTAATTTTTGCAAAAATATTTATTTTATTTGTATTTCAAGAATATCAAAATAATCTTAAACATTTTTGCTGACCAATAAAATATTACTCCCTCCAACCAGCAACAAATGACCTCTTTTTTTTGTCAGTCTAAAAAAATGATATTTTTCTATTTTTAATAAATTTATTCATGTTAAACATACTTAATAAATATAAATTAATTTAATTAAATTTATAACATCTTGCAAATAAGACCTAAAAAAAACTCCTTTAATTCTATCACTCTTCTTAATAAACAATTTTTTGTATTTATAGTTAAAACTCTTTATTTTTTTATATTATTATTTTTACTAATATATTTTTTCATATCATCCAAAAACATTGCATGAACACAATCGTAGCATCATACTAATACAAATATAACAAATAAAGATAAGTAAATATACGTACGTGATTGAGTTGGTGTCAATCAATTATTTGTTTTCAATTTTGCCGGGAAACTGTTTGATAGTTGTTTTTACGCAATATCATAACTATATATATTGATTTATTTAGGTATCAAACTTTTATTCCTTAGACACTGTTTATTTAAAAAAATATACATATTATATTAAATATATTTTTTTAAAAAATAATATATTAAATTAAATACTAATATTATATTTTAAAAGAAAATTTAAAATTTCAAAAATCTCAGTCTAAACGGAGCTAGAGATATGATATTTTTGTTAGCACATCGTGTCTTGGGTAATTGTATTAATTCTGACTTTGAATCTTCAAAAATTAATCACCTTCTAATCTTTTGAATTTCTCCTAAATACAATATTTATGGATATATCAACACAAAATTAAATTAAATGTACTGACTTTTAATTAAAAAGTAAAAATTGATTCAATAATTTTTTATTGTAATTTATAAAAATAAACATATAAATAACTAAATATATAATTTAGTTATTATGTTTTGAATATAAAACCAATATAATATTAGGTTTTTTTTTTCTAAATACAAAAGTATCATTTTCAAACACTTATGTATATATAAATTATTTTGATCTATATAAACATATTATGTCCAACTATTCTTTTTATATCTAAAAATATCACAATCCAAACAAAACACATGATAATATAAAATTTGTTATAAAATTTGTTTGGTTGTTGTTTGAAATTAATTTGAAAAAATAGTACTTTTTCAGTCCGCTTCTAAGGATTACATTTACATTTTACGTCATTATATTAAACATTAAAAATATTCTTATATTTGTATAATTATTTTCTATAAATATCATTATATTAGTATTATATGACACTAATATAAGTATTTTTGTCATTTTTCCTTATTTGTACTACTTTTTGATATGATAATTAATATTCAAATATCAACACTAAAAAATAAATATGACCTTTAGAGACAATGAAAATAATATATTAATATAAATTTGTATTTAAATAGTATTGAATTTGATGTTTTATACAAATAAATAATACCTATTTTTAAGAAAAATATCTTCACTGGAGTTATGTGTAAACTAATCTAATTCAGGGCTTGCCTACCTTTTGAGTGTTACTCTCTCCGTCTCAGATACCGTGTCTGCTACACTGTAGACACGGTATTTTAGAAGGGGTGTAATTAGTAGATAATTAAGAATATATTAGGGAGAATAATTATTCTATAATATAAATAATTATAAATTAAGATTAAAATAATTAATTAGTTTAATTAAAATTAAAAAATTTAAAATGAAATTAAAGTGTGTAATCATTTTCCAAAAAAAGAAAGTGACATAGTATGTGAGACGAACAGAAACGACAACGTGGACATGATATCTGGGACGGAGTTAGTATTTATTTATTTTTTATGATTTTGCTCATTCAAGCTAGCAATGCCTAAAAGTTGCCACAACATAATGTGCTTTATGCCTAACCTAAACTAAAACAAATTAAATGGTTTGAATTTATGTAATGATAGTTTGCTGTGAAATTTTGTAAGAAAAAATAATTTTATATATATATATAAGAGTTATTGATGGTTCTCCAATGAATTTGTTAAAAAAAATAAATAAATATACAAATCTAAATTGATGTAGCAATGAATGCCATCTATATTAAATAAAAATTTCATTATGGTTACAATGCCATCTATGGACAATAGTTACAATGTCAACTTAAGTAACTAAATTCACCCACCCTATTTAAAAATTAATTGATATCTTATAGGGCAATTTCATAATATATTCAAACTTGAAATTATATAGGTGTGTTGACATTGTATTTTTGAATAAATATATATTTTTTTTATATTAGGTACGGAGACATATGAAGTAAATATGTTGCGTCCATTTTGTGTTTTTGGATAGATGTGATTTTCTTATTTTAGATCAGAATAAAAAAAATAATACTTTGTATTTAATTGTTTAAATTTTTGTGAGTGAATAATGTGGATATATTATATATAGTATTATTGTGTGTGTATATTTTACATTTTTATAATATTTATAAAGAATTGTATCGTAAAAAAAACACAAAGAGAACAAATCTATTTTTTTGTTCTTATTTTACTATCTAGTTTGCTCCTTTCAAGTTTATTATTATTATTATTATTATTATTATTATTATTTTAATAGTACTCCCTCCGTCTCAAATATCTTACAATATTTTTTTGTTGTCACAAATTCTTTGCAATATTTTTAAAATAAGAAATAATTAAATATATTTAATCTTTACTTCACACTTTATCATCACATTAATCAAATAAAAAGTAAAATTACAATTCTCTCTCTCATTACATCACTTAATTCTCAAATTATCTTAGTTAATACTACTCACCCAAATTACTGTACCGAAATCAAATATTGCACGGTGAGACAAATCGAGCTAATATAATATTTTGTGAATAATATGAGTATATTTTAGTCAAGGAGAATCATGATTCTTGTATAGCAAAAATTTCAAACTTCATTTAAAAAATAAATAAATAAATAAATAGAGCCTTTCAATCATCTAAGGGCTTGTTTGTTTGGGAATTGGATTTTCAATTCACTGTTTATCCCATTTTTTCATTTAAAAATATTAAATTAAACACCTATTTTTTATTTTTTATATTATACTAAAAATCAGTTTTATATTCAAAACATCAAATCAACACATATTTATATCACATCATACAATTATTCAAATTCAAAACTTTTACTATTCAAATCCCAACTCGAAATTCAAATCCCCAAACAAACACACCCTAACTATAAAGAAACGTTGATTTTATGTGATCATTATTTCAAAATAAGGGTGTATTTATATAGTGATTTTTTCTTTTTCTTTTTCATTGTTTATTTAATAGTGAATTGGATTTTGATGTTTGAGAAGATGAAAGTGTATATTTTTAATAAGAAATTGTTAGAATTATACTTCTTCCTCCGTTCCTTAATAATTTATCTATTTTTTATTTTGATTTTTTTTTTATAAAATATCCATTTTCTTTTTTAGTAATTGTATTTTATACTGACCTTATAAATTACCCTTACAACTTACAATATATTACACAAATATCATTATATTTATATTACACAATACTAATAAGATTATTTTAATCTTTTGTACTTTATTCATACCACACCTCAATATAATATTAATATTTTTAAAATTTCATACAAAAAACAAACGAATACAAGAGATGGAGCAAATAGATAATTTAAAAAGTTATTTAAATGTCCTATTTATTTTCAATATTTGATCTAATAGTATATATATCCACCAACTGAATTTTAACGTTGTAACATTTACAAATATTATTCAAAAATGTTATTTAATTAGTGTGATATATAAACTCATGACTATAAAATCACAGAATTACATATATAATTAAAACTTAAATACGTTAATTGAAACCCATATATTATAATTTCTAAATTCATTAGTAAGATACTAATAAAAAAAAAATATCAATAATGTACTTATTTTTTAAATGGAATTATATCACCATTAAATAAATATTTTTATTTTCAATTCACCTTCAAAGGAATTAATAATTTCATAAGATAAAGATAAAATAGAAAGAAGGTGCCCCGACGCCTCTCCCAATAATCAAAACAAACAAAAACCAAT